CAGCAAATCAATCTTAAAACCAAATACCACTACATAGATCCTATCGATTCGTATCAATATAAACCTGTTTGAGTTCCTGGCGAGAAAGCTTCGACATCGCGAAGAACTTTGTCGCATCGTTCCCAGAAACACGACCGTCTCCATCTGAATTTTCAGAGAAGCGAAAACCAAAATCGGAACGGAATCACTACGCGAGATTAGTAAATCCAACTGAAAAAAGGGGGAAAATAAGCACTGAAACCTGAATCGGCGATGTTGAACCATTCCTTGTACATCTTCTGATGCTCTTTCAAACAAGTACCGATCGAGGTCGCCGAAGACGTCTGCATTGCTGCGAGTTTCCGAATGAGAGATGCTTATCGAAGAGAGAGAAAGATAGAGAGGTTTCTGAAATTTGAAATGGAGACTTGAGAGAATTGTTGAGAGAGAGAGAGAGAGAGCGTAGAGAAACGGATAGATATTTCCAAGAAGGGGATTTTAACTGGTTTAGCGCATTAATACTTGTTACAAACCTTCTCTCTTCTCTCACTCCTACGGCGATTTCCGATGTTTAGATCGGATTTAGTTATAAGGCTTTTTGCCCTTTTTTGTTTGTTTATACTTTCCGCTTCGACCGACTTCTCTTCCGATCTGATCGGATTTAATTATTCCACCATAGATTTTGTCTATGGATGGATTTGCTTTCTTTTTCTTTTGTTTTTCTGTGTTACCGACTGAGATCGGTCCACTCAGTTTGATCTTCCCCTATCGCTTGTTCTGAAAAGTTTAAATTCCGATTATATTTTGATCTCTGTTTTCACCCAATACTTGATTCATCACTTAATTGAGCATAAATCCTTACTTTTTTTTTTGCCATCGAAACAACTCCATGCATTACTATAATAGGCCATCAGGAGCACTTAAAACAACCGACCCGTCTGGTAACAAAGGGTTTATATGGGAAAAGAGAACACCTCGTGCACGAGCCTCTTTAGAGAGGTTGTCTGCACGGCAACGTGGAATGAAAACAAGTGAAAAAGCCGTAAACATAGATCGAATAAGATGAAAATCATCTAATTCTGAGACCAGCAAGGGCCATACTTCTCCATCTTCTATGAGCTTGACAAGCGTTAGGCAGTCGGATTCAAAATGGATAGAGATGAATCCAAACTGGTGAATAAAAAATCAATAGCAATGTTTATGCTCTAAAGTGGTTTCATCTCTCCCAAATCATTTTTTATAGATAAATGAACATGCCATCAAATGCCAGAAAAAAAAACTTACAACCCAAATTGGTTTATAGCTTAAGGTGTTGATCCAACAATAAAGTAATCTTCGCAAATACTTCATCTGTTTACTTATTTTAGGTAACCATATGAAGTTTATGTGAAAATACTTTGTTGCCGGGTAATTTGAATGACAGGATGAGAGAGATTTATACAACTTTGAGTGGCAAATGCAAGATTTAGTTCTAACTTAATTGCAATTATTTTTATTTTTTTATCAAATTCTTATTCTATTCCAAATGATAATCATCAAAGACCAAAAGTTTATTTTTGAGCCCGTTTTAATTCACATGGTGAAATTTCTGTTCTTAGAAAACATTCCACTGATGAATCTCTTCTTCGATCTACTGAAATTTATGTTTAGTCTCTCTACCAAATAATTTCACACAATGGAACTATCTAAAACTAAATCTTCAATATATCAATTAAGATTACCCTTTCAGCGAACCTTATAGTTCGAAGGAATTACAAAGAATGCCATTCATGTGTATGACAACTAGCTTGATGTTTTGTAGAGTAATAAAGCACATGCATGTTCAAGAACAGAGAAGGAATTCAACTTTTTGAGCAATAGCGTCTTATATGACTCTCGGTTTCAGGATATCTGAGTTATATACATCGATAGCTCGTTGAACGAGATTGTAAGATTTTGCAACTATCTAATGTAATTTTTCTTCTCAGTTTAGAAATGAATGATCAAACATATACATACACATACACATACATACATTATGTCCACAGACGATCTACAAAGAAAAAAAGATGTTACAATCGCCATTGTGGAAAATCAATTCTGCCGAGACACATTGATTACATTTTCATGTTATGTTCACTGCCAAAAACAAAAACATGAACACAATGTTAAGGTTATGTCAAAACAAATGAAAATGATGAAACTTAACAAGAATATAGATGTTGAGAGTACCGATTCTTTTGAGCAGCCATAGAAGAAGAGCAAGCTCGAAGCTAAAGATCATACGCAGCCATGTTTTGTCCACCAAGAATCCGTAAACAGTGATCCCGGTTTTGTTGTTTTCTAAATAGGTCACTACACATATACAAGAAGAAATCAAAACACTTAAAAAGTGAAAAAAAAAAAGATTTAACCATCGTCTCTAAATCATCAAGATTTCTTTACCTAGAGCTTGACGTTTCTCGAAAGAAATGGCGCGAGCATGGATCGGATGTATCGAGGTATTGTCAAGATCACTGACTCCTTCCCATTCTTCATCATCATCGGATGATTGAATCACGTTACGACGACGAGATAAAATCTGGACATGTTGACTGGATGTTGAACATTTAGGAGTTTCTCCATCATCAAGATCATCAAACGTGTCCATAGTGGCGCAAACGTTCCACTTTGTAGCTATGCTCGCTAAAGATTGAGCTTTGTGAGTCATCTGTGTTGCACTTCTCAAGCATATAAATAGCCCTGACACCAAACTCATGGAGCATAACTGTAAAAATAAAACAGACACATTGATCAAACATAATATTTCAAAAATCTCATATTTTTCTTTGGTTTCAAAACAAATTCAGCAAATTTAAAGCTTGTAAATGACAAGAACAAAGACTGTAAAAAAATAGAGACATTGATCAAGTTAATGTTTCAAAGATTTCACCTTTTTCTTTAGTTTCAAAACAAAGTGAGCAAATTTAAGCATGTAAATGACAAGAACACAAGAGCGTAAAAACAGAGACACTGATCTAGATAATGTTTCATAGATTTCACCTTTTTCTTTAATTTAAATAAAAGTCATCACATTTAAGCATGTAAAATGACAAGAAAAAGACGGTAAAAACAAAGACACTGATCAAGATAACATTTGGAGGCTGATGCATAACTGTAAAAACATCAAGATAAAATTTCAAAGATTTCACATTTTTCTTTAGTTTCAAAACAAAGTCAGCAAATTTAAGCATGTAAATGGCAAGAACAAGACTAAACAAATTAGAAATTCCTTACCGCGAGCTCACCAGCTTGATAGATATTGAAAGGAACACTAGCTCTAATGGTAGTAAGCAAGGCCATGAACTGAGTAGCAGTAACGAAAGTCAACGACAACAGAATAAACCGTCTGAAACGGTGACTGACGATCTTAAGCTCACGCCGGATCTTGAGATGCTCGGCGAGCGTGGAGCTGAAATCAGTTATCTCAGAGGCGAAGCAGCGTGCGAATTCATCGAGACGAAGGATCTGTAAGTGACAGACGATTTGGTAGAAGATACAAGCAGTGATGAAGAGCGATATACGGTAGAGCCAAGATGAGAGCTGGAGCGTGCAGGCTATGACATGGCTCAACGTTTGGTTGATGACGTAAGGGATTTGGCTCGAGCCTGAAGTGTACCACCAAATGCGATAGATTGCTTGAAGCGTTAACGATGGAAGAACGAAGAGACCTAGTAGCTTCATTGATCTCTGCAACAACAAAACAGAGCATACACATCAAAGAATGTATAACCTATAGTTTTAAACAGAGGATATCATAAATTTTTGTCATATATAATATGATCCATTCTGTTCCAAATGAAAAAAAAAAATCAAAATTCCAGAGAAAAGTTGTAAAATTTCACTTTTTTAATTTTTTTGCAGCATTATAATTAGTTTTATAAATAAAATTTCTTAGATTTATTAGTATAAATAGAGTTTATATGCATTTTGTTACCTGGATTTCGGATTCGTATTCGAGTCGAATATTTTCGCTGACGTCTTTGAGCTTATCGAGGAAGAGGAATTTGCGGATACCGTATCGCTTAGACCAATCGGAGAGACTGACGAAGGAGATTCCGGCGAAGATCGATAGAGATGATTGAACCAAAGCGTCATACGGACGGCGGTGTTTGAAATCGCAATCGGAGCAGATTAGCACGAAGTGTGAGATCATTGGGACGATGACCGCGAGGAGGAAGAAGACGGACCACGAGAGGATGGTTTTAACTCGATTCGACTGGTCGAACCAGAGAAGGAGTTTCGGGAACGAGAATTTCGTCGCTGGCGACTGCGACTCCGACTCCGACTCCGGCGGTTTGTGGATCGGGTCGGGTCGTTTGGGTGATGACTCTTCCATCGGGTTGAGGGTAATTTTGGAATATTTAGACCGAGCACATTAATGATGTAAATAATACAATCTGAGTGGCTATGTGTATGTCCTTGCTTGCAAAAGAATGTGTATAGATCGGATTTAAACTCAGATCGGTCTGATCACATATAGTTTTGTTTTGCTTATGATATTAGGATTTATGTCATGTCTCTGTCACATTTGACTCTCTTTCCCTTCGCCATGTGTCCTTCATTTATATGTGAAATAGACAAATTGTTAGCCGACAACATAGTGGAGCCACATAGAGTCAGAAACGATTTATATAATGATAGATTTATGGAAGTTAAGGAATCTATTAATCTAACTCATTTTGTTGACTTTTGATTGTAGCTTTTAAATAAAATCCCAGCACATGGAATTATTTATAAATTTAGGAAAAACTCTGATGAGTTTTGAACTTTCAAGAATGTTTTTTCTTTTTTAACAAAATTTTTCTTTTTGAAGAGGGAATGTCCACTATGTTGCTTTTTTATTTTTATTACCGGAATTTGTGTGTCAAATATCTGTCACATGAGCAAACCAAGAGTTGTAGAAGTTTCTTCCTTTTTTTGCATAATAACCAAGCAACCAACCAAGAGTAAATTAAGACTGAAAGAAAAAAAAAGAAAAACAAGAAGCAAGTAAAGAGTCTCTAATAAGGAAAATATCTCTTGTCAGGTTGAGGAACGAGGATCAGAAACAGACACCGCGGAAGACGGTGGAGGTGGCGGGCAGGGCCGGCCCTGGTGGCGGGGGAGGGATTCGATACAGCCACCGCGGAAGAGCAAACATAGAGAGATATGATTCCGAGAGGAAACTCATTGTGTTCATCTCTCCACTGCATCCAACATAACTCAAAATCTGACCAATTCCACTGCATTCCTCCACCTAACAGTTAACCATAGATTTCCCATTGCGTAAGTTAATAGATCCTAAAGACATATACATCGGGCTCCACTTATACATTGTATTACCATCAAAAGGGTTCATCATCACCGGAAAATCGATAAAATAAAAAAACTGGAGAAGATTTAGGTACTAGTTGCCACTCACGATTCTTTAGCCTCCATACACTTAACTTGTGATCCACGTCTCCTCCATCATCTTTTTCTCCAGAGATTATGTTCATATACATGTGATCTCCTTGAGAAGTTGTGCAAGATCTTTCGAAATGTGGTTCTTTATCTGAGTCAGGGAGAGGTATAACTTGGTGTTGATGATCAGAAGCGTAGAAATCGACGGACACAACTACTTCTTGATCCTCAAGATTTTGACCAAGCCAGTGAAGATTTCCGTTCAAGCAAATTGGTTCTGAAGAATTCAGTGAGTTTAAAGGTAAAGGACATTGGATAGTGTTGGTACCCCCACAAGCCTGTCTCTGATGAATAAATGATGAAAGCAAGGATATAATCGTTCATGTTGAAGTCTTTTTGAATCAGAACAACTTTGTAACCCAAAACGACACCGTTGTCGGTCTGTGTGACGAGTCTTACCAGTTTGACCCACACGTTTTGCACGAAAGGCCCATTATTAAAAAAACTGTAGGCCCATATATCGAGCCGACTACTTCTCTTCAACGGTAGTCTCATATTCAAAATTTGGTCTCTCTCTCGTTTTCTTTCATTTTCGTTGATCTCTGAAGAGAGAATCAGAAACAGAGACTCTAATTTCTCTCCCGATTTCGTTATTCTTTCACAAGAAATCGCTTAATTTCTCGTCCGAATCCAAAAGCCAATTCACCGGAAATTCCTAATTTCGAACCTTGTCGGTAACGCAAACGAGAATCGAAGATACTTCCGTGGACGTGTGTGACGATCCTTCGCTGGGATTTCAATTAGTGTGATCCGTACACTGATTTCGCGAAGGTATGATCCTATCTATTCTGTTTTTACAAACTCGAATTGCTTGTTCAAATCCCTAGGGTTTGGGTTTGGGGTTTCTTCGTTCAATTTCGGTTTCTGGATCCTGACTACTAGTTTAAATCCCTAGGGTTTGGGTCTTTTGTTGTTCGTCGGATTTCTTTTGCTCCGCTTTGAGAAATAAGTTGTACAGGTTAAAGAATCGGAAGTGATTTTGAGTATTTTTGATTTGCGATTACATGAAATCGAGGATGGATCTATACGTTTCTTCGATATCTATGATACTCTCAATTGTTAAATTGTTCTTTAGATGATATCGAGTCTCATTAGAACAGAGATTGGTATGGGTGTTTCATTTCTCGGGCTCGAATTTGAAATTGGAGAAGGAGTTTGAAATTTTGTAGTTTTGAAGATTGGATTCTCAAATTTGTTGGTTAATTGTACAAAGTGCTCAGTAGTGAGGATAATTTATATGGCTTGTTTTGAATTATATGGTTTTGCAGTGAGCAGAGAAGAACAATGAAGGAAGCGCCAAGAGCTATACCTCTCCTCTCAGGAATTTTGCAGCCTTCACAAGCAGATCAGCTGCTGATAATCCTTTGCATGACTTGAAGATTGGTACGCTAATTCCTGTGATAGATTGTTATTGATTCATATAGACATGTATCCTTGTTCGTTTGCCATTAGAGTTTTGCTTGGATGGCTAAATGTTCATTCTTTTAAGAGAGTGTTTGTTTGTTCAAATTTGTAGCTCCTGCTGTTTTCAACTGTGTAAGCTTTTTGCTCCTATTGAGTTGCACAAATTTATTTAGCAAAGGTGGCAAGGTGAAGTAGGAGCTAGACAAGAACAGTTGCCTTATTAAGGTACAGTGTCTTCTGATCCCTTATATTCTGCGGTTGTATGAATCATATATGCACAAGTTTTCCTTGCTAAGATTTGAAAAGAAGAAGAAAATCTCATCACTGGATCTGGTTGTGCTGTGTAGGTTGATCGTGTTCTCTGTTCATTCCTCGAACCATCTGTGAGGACAGTGATCCAATACATGTCCTGGTTCTGAATTCTGATGCGGTTCGATTCTCTCGTCTCTACTTAGCATCATGTTCAATTGTTATATGCAAACTTGACATAAACAGACAGTGAAATAACCAACTTGAGATGATTGGTAACTATTGTGCAGAAGCCTGTGCTAACTGGATCGTTCCTCAGTGCTCGTGATTGATCAGGTAACATAAGTTGGTCATGTTCTGCTCATGTTCAATTTTGACAAATAGAAATTGAAAATTCGCACCATTAGATACTTGTTTCTAGTTTGATAGGAACTTGGAAAGATTCAATCTTTTTCTGAGTTTCGTTTTTAAACTTGAAAGGATTGCGTTTTGGACAGTTGAGAGAAGATTGTCATGGAGAGAGCTTCGATTGGCTAGTGTGTTTAAACTGCAGATGTGTTTAATGAAAAGAACCTTCTTGCACAAGGAGGCTTTGAGAAAGTTCCGGGAGAGACAACAATCAAACTCTGTAAGCAACAGGTTTTAGTGAGATTAAGATTGGTTGTTACATTAAAAATCTCAGGATCTTCTGTTGAGAGGTACCAAACTGATGCATGCAGGTAAAGGATCTTGAGAATGAAGTTGAACGAATCTAAAGGAATCTCTCTTGTGTGTTGCAACAGATAAGGTTAAGGATTTCGAGCATTAGTTTAAATTTTCTCATTAATTATTAAGTATATAAAGACGATGAAACCTAATCATTAACAAAGTTTTGTACTTGATCTTTCAGGTGATTATAGTGACTTTCCCAATGCTTTCTTCGCCTATTTTCCGTAACTAGAACATTACAAAGGTTAGTTTCTTTCTTTCTTGTTTCTTCTTTAACTTCTCTAATTCACGAAAACTACATTAATATTTTTCTGAAATCAAAATCAAACCTTTAGAATTTACAATATAGTCTAATACCAAAAGTAAATACTTATTTCCAAAAAATCCAAACCTCTCCCAAATTATTTCATCCTAAACTTAAACCAAATAGAGATTTGAATTGTCATATTAGTTAAAGAAAATCGGATGATTTACGAATTGTAAAAACTGAAAGAATTGGCGGCCAGTCATTTATTTGATCATAAAAGTCAGCCATATTCAACTTGTTTTTGCATTAGTAAGTCATTCGGTTTTCCTAATTAGTTTGACAACAAAAATATCTCTATTTTAGAAAAACTCCTAAAAAATAATTCAACTTATTCATGACCTAAACTTCTTTAAAAGCTTTATACCAAAAAAATATTTCTTATTTCTAAAAATTATTATTCATAATGCAATCCTCTCTCAAATTATCTCATCCTAGACTTAAACTAAATAGAGATTTTAAGTTGTCAGATTAGTTAAAGAAAACCGGATGATTTACGAATTGTGAGAACTGACAGAGTTGGCGGCCAGTCATTTATTTGATCATAAGAGTCAGTCATATTCAACTTGTTTTTGCAATAGTAAGTCATTCGGCTTTCCAGATTAGTTTGACAACAAAAATATCTCTATTTTAAAAAATTCCTAAAAAATAATCCAACTTATTCATAACCTAAACTTCTTTAAAAACTTTATACCAAAAAAATATTTCTTATTTCTAAAAATTATTATTCATAATGCAATTCTCTCCCAAATTATCTCATCCTAAACTTAAACCAAATAGAGATTTTAAGTTGTCAGATTAGTTAAAGAAATTCGGATGATTTACGAAGTGTGAGAACTGACAGAGTTGGCGGACAATCATTTATTTGATCATAAGAGTCAGCCATATTCAACTTGTTTTTGCATTAGTAAGTCATTCGGCTTTCCAGATTAGTTTGACAACAAAATATCCCTATTTTAGAAAATTCATAAAACATAATCCAACTTATTTATTACCTAAACTTCTTTAAAAACTTTATACCAAAAAAAAATATTTCTTATTTCTAAAATTTATTATTCATAATGCAATCCTCTCCCAAATTATCCCATCCTAGACTTAAACTAAATAGAGATTTTAAGTTGTCATATTAGTTAAAGAAAACCGGATGATTTACGAATTGTGAGAACTGATAGAGTTGGCGGCCAGTCATTTATTTGATCATAAGAGTAAGTCATTCGAGTTTCCAGATTAGTTTGACAACAAAAATATCCCTATTTTAGAAAATTCCTAAAAAATAATCCAACTTATTTATTACCTAAACTTCTTTAAAAGCTTTATACCAAAAAAATATTTCTTATTTCGAAAACTTATTATTCATAATGCATCCTACAATCCCTATGTCACCATTTTGCTTCTTCATACTATTGTTGTGGAGTTCATCTTTGGTTTTGGTGGTTGAAGTGTTTTGTTAGCCTTTATCCATATTGTTGTTGTTGTTATTGTTTATATTCCCGTATTGTTTAGTGCGGTAAGTTTGGCTTTATTATTTTTTGTTTGAAACATCTTCTCCTTTAATGGAGAGTAAGCATGAATAAAAAAATTAGTAAGCTGTTGAAAAAAAAAGCGGGAATATCTATTAACGATTAATTGTATTTAATAGCCTTTTTGTCTTAATCTGAGTATTAGCAGATTTGGTGATATTTTATTAAATAAAAGCCAAATTTACTAGATTTTGCTTAAACTCTCTAGCAACCTAGCCATTTTCTTATAAATACCTTCATATCATAAACCAAACATGAGCAAATCAAATTTGATCGTTTTCGTTTCAGTGGCCGTTCTATTATCAGTTCTCAATGCTAATATGGTGTGTAGCATGACCTGTGAAACAGCCAAACAAACGTTGGTAGAATCATGTTTGAAAGATGTTAATCAGCCAACAGAGGATTGTTGCAATGCTATATTGCAAGTGAGCAAACAAGCGGAGACAACAGAAGCTCGTCAAACCCTTTGCAAATGTTTCCATGACGTTATAGGATCACCTCCATATTCGAAACTTATTGACTTGCCTGAACACTGCCACATTCATCCGGGTGTGCAATTTGGCCCCCAAACCGATTGTGGAAGGTAGGTATATTTTATATGTATTAAAACTTTTAATTATGTGATTTAGTTAATTAATAATTGTTAATTACATGTTGAGTCCTACAATCAATTTTGTTGTATTATTATTTCTTATAACGGTTATACAAAAATTATTTTCCTTTTTACAAGAAATTAAATTTATACTAGTTTGGAACTAACTTCTCTAATTTCCTTTGTAATATTTGTGCAGCATCAGTCTCTGAAGCAAAGAAGAAATCGTAATGAGCAAGGGCCAAGAAGATAAACATATGGCAATTAATGTAGCTCGTTAATGTACTTTTCCCAAAGAAATATAATCATGTAATATAAGTAAAATTAGGGGATTACCCACGCCTAATGCGTGGGATTGAGTTAACTTTAATATTTTTCGTATTTAAAATAAATTATTATCGAATGAATATGTCATTTTTTATATTATTTTTAGATTAATATCTACTTTATTTCTTTATCAATCTATATAAATATTTCTAATATAATAATAAACATATTGTCTCGATTACTAATATTGTAGTTTTTTTTCCGTTTTGGAATAATAGATAGATAATTGATTATTTATTTATACGTATTATTATATGTAAGTTGTTTCCTATTTTCAAAGTACATTAATTACGTGATTCTTTCAAAAGATTATAATTTAAATAAATTTAAAAGACCTTTAGAAATATTGCTAATAAAATATAGTTAAACTTTTTTAAAAATTTATATTAAG